CCTGTACCCGCGGACCATACAGGGCTCGGCCGCTGAGTGCTTCCCTCCTGTCAGCCCCTCTCCCCATGCTGCGCCCCGGCGGTGCGGTCCGCCCTCATGGACGCACCGCCCGGGCAAAGCTGCAGCCGCCTGAGGCTCTCTGCAGCCCTGACTATAATTCTAAAATAGCTATTTCATCAGATACACAGGAGTTACCCTACTCCTTACACATAAGTTACTGCTACGGACACTCTCAAAGGGCAACTAACATTCATTTAACGTTAGCTTCTTCATCAGAAGCGATATTAGATGGACATGTGCTTGTTTAGAATTAGATTGCATTCCCTCTGTGTGAAGTATGATGGCTGCTCTGGTTCCCTGTCGTCCCTCTTCTAGTTAACCTCAATGAGAGAATTGTGTGAGTATAAAAACATTAACCATTTCATTACCCACCTTCCATCAGAAGTTACAAGCCTCCTTGTCCCTTTTCACTTTGTACTAATTGCAGGCTGTTCTCATTTTTCAAACATTTTACTACATATACTCTTTACACTGCACGTCATTAATGCTGTGATATCAAGGTTGGAAAAAGTATCAGCTCATAAATATGCAATTTTCAGTTAGTCATATGCAAACTTTGTAAATGATATAACAAAATCAACAGAACGTAACAGACTGAGATAAATACTTGCTTTCAGAGCTCAATAACAAAGATGTCTTGGTTGATATTAAGGACACGTACAAATACACTACAAACATAACTCTAGTCCAATGCTAATATTATCTTTGTTTACCAATGTCATAAACCATGATGGGTAACATCTGTTCAATGATTTCCACTTTCTGGAGAAAGATATAGTCTATTATCTCAAAGTCACAGGTTAACTCAGACTTAAGGTCACAGTCATTATCCTTCGAGAGTGGCAAAACAAGTACAATTAACTTGGGTAATAATATCTAAACCCCAGTTATATCTGGAAACTGGCAGCAAGCACCTTTTCTAGTTAACCAAGGATGATAACAAGAATACTTCTGGTCAGGGACAATAGGCTGAAGACATAGTACGTGGCGAAAGTTGGTGGAGGTGTGCTGAAACCGAAGGACAAGTAAGCCTTAAAAAAAATGAGGGCTTATCGTATGAAATTGTAAAGTGTGTGAGAATTAAAGGAGATGAGGGTGGGCCAACGCAAGACCTATGCAGCAACAGCCTGGGAGTGAGATTGATTTATAGCCGCACAAAACCCCTTCCACAATTCCAGCCTGACGGTTACATGGTAAAAGTCGGTTGAGGTGTGCAGAAACCAATAGACCAGTAAGCCTAAAAAGAAAAGATGGCAAAAGCGTGGATGCAAAATACTTTATTTCCAAATTCCAAGGCTACATCCCCAAATACTTTTTAAATTTCACATTCTGGACTGGTAATATATATCCAGTAAGCAGATGACTTCCAGAAACATTTTCTTTATTATGTGTACAGGATCACTTTTACTTGATACTTTGGTCACTGTACCTATTCTAAAGGAATGCACAGAAAAGGAGAAACGATTTAAACCTAATCTTACCATTAGAATTCTCACATATAACGTGAATTTCGAGGTAGTGAGAGGAAATCCGTGTACATAAATAAATGATTGGGAAGGTAACTTACCTGACAAAAGGATCACATATTTGTCTAATACTTTTGCTAGGCACCATTTAGTTTTAGTAGGAGGGGTATGTATGGCTCTTTTTAAAAAATATGAAAAGTGAGAATGTAATGATCCTTCGATATTTTATGACCCTGTATTTTGAGACATTTATCTTACTGTGCTGCAGAAACTACTGAAAATGTTCTAGAACGTAGAAAGCCTAGAAATCTATGTACATGGCAGTTCTGATAATCATGTTGGTATGAGTTTACAAATGGGCTAAACATTTTTCGGTTCCTTAAAGGTATATGCACCCACTTATCTTTTTTGAATACACTTGGGAGTTCAAGTTCCACAATCATTATACATGTTTAGTACGCTCTAATAATGGTTATTTACCCCATTAATGTGACCCTTTTACACTAGGAGGTATTTCTGAGTGGGTTAGGCTTTCCACCCATTTGTTGTGAGTGGATCCCCTACCCTATTCTGTGCTGTCTCTATTCTGAATTAATTTCGGGGCTAAGCCCCTATACCTCCTGTAACCTTTTCTTTTGGAGGAGTGGTGATA